ACGAAGAAGAGAAAAATGCTAAGAATTTAAAACCGGTCGATCACCGGCCGGTTTGAAAATATTTCTAGACCGGCAAAAGATCGGTGGAGACCGGCCGGTCTAAACTTTTACACCGGATCGAACCGGCCGGTGACCGGTCGGTCTGCCGGCCCGGTTCCAACTCTGGCTTGTCCAGCTAACAGTCCCAGTTTTTCGCTGATTTCCGAAAAATTATTGCAATAAAGCTACAAACTAATCTAAAATTACAGCTAGATAATTAAGTAGGTTAAACATTTCTCTATAGAATGAAGAGTGACTCGGCTCTGAACGTTAATTTGTTGTGGAAATACAACTGTTGTACAAACAGCCCCAAAAATCGATCTGCAGGCTATCTGAAAAACGTGTCTAAAAGAGTGGAGACGAACAGACGAAAATTGAATAAGTATACCAGTTTGTAGAAAATTGTTTGTTCTACAAGATGTGATAGTTTTTTAAGTTCGAAACTTTTAATTAATCTGTATTAATCAAAGAAAAAAGAGAAAAACTGTGACGCTGCGACACCTTTGACTGAATAGTTTCGAACTTAAAATGCTGTCACATCTTGTAGAACAAACAATTTTCTACAAATTGGTATACTTGTTCAATTTTCGCCTGCTCCTCTCCATCCTTCTAGACACGTTTTTCAGATAGTCTGCAGATTAATGTTTTGGGCTGTTTGTACAACAGTCGTATTTTCATAACGAATCAACGTTCAGACCGAGACACTTTTCATTTTGTAGAAATGTTTAATACTTAATTCAGCCGTCCCGAAAAATCGTGGTTTTTCCACGCCACATGGTATCCGAACAATGTCAGAGCCATGTTTCCTAATTCCATTTTTCATGATGAGCAAGAAAAAATACCTTTTTAAAGACACGAAAAATAGTGCTTACAGGAAAAAAACTTAGTTAAAAGTAATCGAATAGTTATAAAAATAGCTTGACATGTGTAATTTAATATGCTCTATAAAATGGCTGATGTGAAAATCTCGAATGTGATTGAAAAATTTCATGCTCTGGTTTTCCAGAAATCTTACTTGATTTTTCCGCAAAAATTGAATATCTCAGCAACACAACAACTTTAGGATCTGCGGCTTTCACTGAAATTTGATTTTGACAACCGCACGCGCTTGTTTGATTCGAGCTAGTGCTTCATAAAATTCTCCTTCACTAGGGCCGATCCGCTAGAATAAGTGAGTGTTCAGTGTTACAAGAGTAACCTTCTTGATTGAAGTGACTATTTTTCTAAACTACACTAAGCATGCATTCCAGTATATAGTGTCCACTTGTAGAACATTTTCTTTCATCACTAATCACCTTTCCACCCCGTTTTCTTCAACCATTGCTCAATTGTATTCAATTTCGTTAACTTTTGTCCATTTGTCCAATCTTTATCTTTGCCATAATAACCATATTCTTCAAACCATTTATACATATCAACTAATTCATCTTGGACGAATTTCGACATTTGCATTTGTTTCAATGCTGATCGAAATTCTTCTTCCGTTAGTGTTTTTGATATAGCTGGAACACCGGTTACTTTCGTAAAAAGTTTTGGCAGATCTTCAAATGCAATTGCTTCGCCACAAATACAAACATCTTGCCCAACGAATTTCTCTGGATCGTTCAAGATTTCTCGAATAATGGGGCCTGTATCCTCGATATCGACTACATGTAATTTAGCCTTTTGGTCCATTGGAGCGGCAAATACCACAGTGCCATCGTCTAATTTAGCTGTTTTAAAGAATCCTGTCCAGTTTTGCATGTAGTATGCAGGTTCGACAAAGATAGCGTTCAACTTCGGGTGTTTTTCCTTGATATACTCATGTAGCTTGCCCTTGTTTGTGAAATGCGGCACTTTCCTTAAAAAAATATATTGACGTGGATACTGAGTGATAATCGTCTTTATATAACTACTTACAGTTTCCCACCACTCAATTTGTCACAGTTTTCGAGCGTACTAAATATATACTATGGGGTTAGAAGAGAGGCAGCAACATCAGCCATTAGCATTCCTTGTCTTATTTCAAAATCAGGCTGATCAGGTTGTGCCCAAGAATCTGTTAGAGCATAAATAGCCCATGAATCTTTGAATGCACATTTCACGTCATCGCTCTTATTAATATCACATGTGACCATCTCAATATAGTCACCCAAACGTTTTAATGCTTGAGCTTTTTCACTGTTTACGTCACGTGTTAAACCACGAATCTTTCAAGAAAATAACAGTATTCATCACATGTAATAACAACGTATAAATGGATGGACGCAATAGAGGACCCCCCTCCCCTGTTACAAGACCCCTCTTGAACTCATAACACAAAAACCACGTTAGAAGACCCCCTTCTTTTATCGATTTTTTGCCCTAAAATATGTTGATTTTGAGATTCAATCAAACACTAACCTTTGCGTTCGTCTTTTCCCTCAGCTGTTCCCAGGTCGAATTCACCCGATCGGATCCTGCCGGATCCTTTTAATTCCGGTGATTTCCGGAGATCGGAATCTGCTCAATTCCTTCGCGTTCCGATATTTTTTTCTGAAGGATCCGGAGATATCCGGAACCAGGCGGATCCGTTAATTTCCAGTGACCGGAAATCGACGGATCCTGTGATGTGTAATTTATTTTTTTTTTCTTTCCAGTGCGGATAATATATTCACCGTTTTGTTTCACGACAGGAGCACTTTAAATACGCTGCAGAAAATGAAAAGTGAGAAGTTGTTCTTCTCAAATTCCGGCATGATCCGGTATGGTTACTGCCGGATTTTACCGAATTCCACCAATTTTCAGCATGTTCCGATGTTGGATCCGGCAGGATCCTGATGCCGAAATGGGCGACCTGGGTTAGAGTGAATATACAGCTGCTAAACAAAAAGAAGTGTATGCGTACACAGCTTTGTACACAGTGCGAACTCTCGATCAAGCGATTTTAGCTTAAAATCAGCTGTTTTTAGGGAAGCTTTCGAAGACCCCTTTCAAAGTTATGAGCGCTAGGACGCGATATAAGACCCGGGTCCTCTATTGTGTCCATCCCTTTAGTAAGTATTTACCTTGTATTTGCCTGTTTCGATCAAAGTACGTACAACGGCACCTCCTTGAGCGCCAGTTGCTCCAACAACAGTTACTAACCGGCGATTAGCCATTGCAGGTTGTCTATCGAATGTACTATATTATTCAAGGTATGGTTCTCGTTATATATAGACAGACTTCTTTTTGTTATTGTCGTTCTTTTTTTTGCCCCGTCATCGTTACATGTTGGCCTCTGTCGATGGCTGTAGGAAGACGAACGCATCGTACGTTTAGTTACAGTCAGAGAGAGAAATGAAGAGAGAAAAGTATATCAGCCGATAAATAGACGAGAATGGAAAGAGAAATCAACAATATGTAACCTTCACTCACGTGTATATTGTGAAACTAGATTTATCGTCGTTTCCTATAGAATGAATAAATAAGAGAGAAATAGTCTGTCTACTTAACTGTACATGCATGTATATGCTTGTGCACAAAGGAGGGGAGCGTGTTTAAATCAATACAGTCGATGTAATTCAATTCTTAATTGTAAACAATCGGGCGAAGATGAATTACAATGTTATCCATTCGATCGATGCCAATTAAATGAACATTATTGTCTAAACAAAACGAATGGTGCCATTGAATGTCTGTCAATAGAACAATATTACAATAATACAATAATTGATTGTCTCGGTGCATCTGATGAACAAGATCAGTGTCGTAGTATTGATGATTCCCAAGAATACGCTAGTTATCATTGTTTAAATGAAACAAAATGTATATCAGTACTAGAATTGTGTGATTGTAACCAAGATTGCGAATATAATGATGATGAATTATTAGTATGTCCATGGATGACAAAATGTGTTCAAGGACAATTTCAATGTATGGATGGCAGTTACATATTTGTGTACCAAAGATGTGATGGAAATTTGAACTGTAAACCATTAGGTGAAGATGAATTATTGTGTGATCTATCACCAAAATGGAAAAGAATACATTTTCATACAGATCATTTCAACCAATATCCATTGGTAAGCCAGTATTGTTGTTCTTATGCTCCTAGACAAACAAATTGTCTTATTATACATAAATAGAGCCAAGTATAAAGGAAAAGCTACGAGTATGCATGATGATATTCCGAACTGTTTAAAAAAGAAAGAGCTTTTATATATTTCTTTTGAATAACTTGGAAGAGAAAGCATTAGAGACCGAAATTTTCTTTCAAAATTACTTTGTAGAAAACATTTTATTTCATGAAACATGGGAATATTCCAGAATCAAATATTCAGCTAATATATCTGATAGATTAACATAAATGAGCTGTGCGGTCTCTGACTCGTCGAGGAACCACTATGTTTGAAATATGTAATGATTAGTCTAAAATGCTATCTAGAAAATTAATCGAACTCCAGCTTTCTTCTATTATGGATTAGTAGAGGGAAAGATTTTGGTGTGGTCTATCTATCCCAATTATTTTACTTCAAAAATGGCTAAGAAAAAAAACAAAGGCTAGCGATCACGTTGGGTGTGCTGGTAATATCTGTCATTAATCAGACTCCACATGATATTTTATCGTGTGAGTTGACGCCGTTATAAAAATTTTGTTAATAGATAGTGTTCGTTAAAAATGCGGTTCGTTTTTGGCTTAAAAAATAAACTATGGAAACCCCATTTAGTCCAACATGATGATAAACGTTGGCATAGTCTTCAGTATGGTTTATTATATACGTTGCAATTTACTTTAACGCTTTCTCGTGGCTTGTGGCTCGTGACCTTTTCTACTTAATTCATATACTGTTCGATAGAGCGAGATTTATCGAAGAATGTTGAATTTCCCATAGTTAGAGACCATTACAAGGGGGAAAAGGCGGCTCCGGAATCCATGCGGATCTACGCGGATCCATGCGAATACAATTTTATTGAACTGACCTGTCCCAGAAATCGCTGTTCCCACAAGTAAAACAAAAATGTTCTGTCTGTGGAAAAAGAATTTACAGAACAGAACACAATTGTCCCGTTATCCAGGAAATTTTCCTAATAAAAGAACCGGAGTGTGCTGTTTCGAGAATACGATTGTCCTGTTTCGCGACTCGGACTGTTCTGTTTTGGGAAGAGGATTGTTGTGTTTGAACGGAAGAATATTGGGACGGATCCGTGGGGATCTTGGCGGATCTACGGGGATCTCGGATCCGCCTTTTCCCCCCTGACCATTATCCTATCTATATCTATACTGAAGTACAGTTAATGTTTGAATGAGGATTGTCGGAAAACGTCGAATGGAAAAATATGAAAACAAAGAAGCAAAGTGTCGAAAGGTTGAAAAGATATCTACAGCAATGAACTCTGCCACGGTTAATAAAACAAGTTTTTATATAAAAGGTTGTTATATTATGTTGTTAATAAGCTATAGCCCAGCTGTTGTCACTAGCGAACAGAGAATCGTGTTTGGTGATGTGAATGACTGCAGCCGAAGGTACGAACGCCAAAAAAGCGTGTTGGTGTCATCTCAAAGGTCAAAATGTTGAGTCTTCTTATAGTGCACCTGACGTCATATTTTAACTTTAGGTTGTTGTCATCTTTAACGACAACAACGTCAAATACACTATGACAAGACTCAACATTTTGATCTTTGAGATGACACCAACACACTTTCTGGCACGCGTACCTTCAGCTGCAGGCGTTCACATCACTAAACACGAGCCTCTATTCGCTAGTGACAATAGCTGGGCTATAGCTTATTAACAACATTCACGAATTTCCACGTTGAAGAATCATCGAGATTTTCAGTAAACTTCAGAAATTTTCTCAGCAATGAAAAGGAATTTCAGAAAAGTGATTTATACTTTTATTCTACGTTTCAAGGTGAATCGATTGGCGTATGAAACTGACTTTATCTCTTAACGAAAAAAAGTAGATTGATTTGCAAAATGAGTATGGTAAAACCGAAGATCTCTCGGCTTCGTTTCTCGCTCGACGACTTCTTTTCGGGAACCTTGAAATGTAGTTTGCTGTATGCAGTTCTTAATACGGAATAAGAAAAACATAGTTTCACGCCTTCGAAATGAGATGGAACCGGTTATTCAGTTTTTAAAAAAGTTAGTGGTTTTTCGAAATACGAGATCGAGTTACGAAGTTTTTTTCACTGATATTGCGCACTGGGAAGATTAAAACCAGATATTCTTGATCAGAGTGAAATTCTCTATTGAATGATGCATAATTAAGCCAAAAATAAACTAGTGCTGTAACTTCGAATTTGGAACGCCTTCCATTGTAGTAAAAAAATAAACCATCTTTTTTTCTGATATAGTTTTTGTTCTCTGAACTTTATTTGTTATTTATGATTAACTAGCGGAGGTACCCGATGTAGAGTGAGTTGCCTTGAACTTTTCCATCTTTAACAGGACCTTCCCCACCGTGCATAAATTGAGATGCTTAGTCACACCGACTATATGATGTGAGAATTTAGTTT